TGTCCCATCAGAGGTAGATGTCCAATTAAAGGAAGAAGTCCCATCAAAGGTAGAAGTCTCATCAGAGGTAGACATCCCATTAGAGGTAGACATCCAATTAAAGGAAGAAGTTCCATCAAAGGTAGAAGTCTCATCAGAGGTAGATGTTCCACCAGAGGTAGATGTTACATCAGATGAAGATGTACCATCAGTGGTAGAAATCTCATCAGAGGTAGATGTCCAATTAAAGGAAGAAGTTCCATCAAAGGTAGATGTCTCATCAGAGGTAGATGTCCCATCAAAGGTAGATGTCCAATTAAAGGAAGAAGTCCCATCAAAGGTAGAAGTCTCATCAGAGGTAGATGTCCCATCAGAGGTAGATGTTCAATTAAAGGAAGAAGTCCCATCAAAAGTAGAAGTCCCATCAGAGGTAGATGTCCCATTAGAGGTAGACATCCCATTAGAGGTAGACGTCCCATTAGGAGTAGACGTCCCATTAAAGGAAGATGTCCCATCAGAGGTAGACGTTCCATTAAAGAAAGACATTCTAACAAAGGTAGAAGTACCATCAGTGGTAGATGTCCCATTAGAGGTAGGTGTCCCTTCAGAGGTAGATGTTCCATTAAAGAAAGACATTCCATCAAAGGTAGAAGTCCCATCAGAGGTAGACATCCCATCAAAGAGCAATGTCCCCTTAGAGGCAGAAATCTCATCAGAGGTAGACATCATATTAAAGGAAGTTGTCCCATCACAGGACAATGTCCCATTAGAGGAATATGTCACATCTAAGGTAGATGTCTCATTGGAGGTAGACATCCAATCACAGGACACTGTTCCATTAGAGGAATATGTCCCATCTAAGGAAGATGTCTCATCAGAGGAATACGTCATATCTAATGTAGATGCACCATCAGAAGAATACGTCCCATCAGAAAGATACGCCCCATCAGAGGACTATGTCCCATCTAAGGTAGATGTCCCATCAGAGGAATATGTCTTATCCAAGTTAGACATCCCATCAGAGGAATATGTCCCATCTAAAGTAGACATCCCATCAGAGGGAGGTGGAGAAAGTGATGACATGATTGTGACAGAAAGACCTATCTCAGAAGGCTTTTCTACACCTCCAAATGCTGTTGTTGAGTTTAAAGTGACCTCACCTAGTCTGACTGTAGACTCTGGTTCCTTTAAGGTATCAGAGGATTCTAGAGTCTCCTCTGGTGCCAAGTCTTTGGGGAAGGACGACATTGAGCTGGGTCAAGGTGAAACAGTTATTATTATTGACAGTAAGGCAGCAGAAGAACGTAAAAGTAGCACCAGCTCTCCAGCTCATTCAGATGAATCTGACCAAAATTTCACTGAGGATCTGGATCAAACAATCACCAGAACCACAGAGACAAGTGAGCCACCGGACACAGGTGGTGGTTTTATATCTGCAGGAGACAAACAAGGCACTGCTGGCATCACCACGCCACCTTCTCTGAGATACCTCACTACACCTTCCATGACCACGGCCATCCACAGCCGGGAACTGGTGGTCTTCTTCAGTCTGCGTCTCACCAACATAAACTTCTCTGACCATCTCTTTAATAAGACCTCATCTGAGTACAGATCCTTGGAGAACACCCTCCTAGATGTGGTGAGTAGACCCACATGAGAACCCATCAGTCTAATTTGTTATACAATCTTAAGAAGCCTATCTTCTCTGAAAGCAGCATCCTGACTTCTGATGGGCTTGATGGTTCTACTCTGGTTCTGGTCTGCAGCTGCTGCCGTACCTGCAGGCCAACCTGACTGGCTTTCAGAAACTGGAAATCCTGAACTTCAGGAGGGGCAGCGTGGTTGTCAACAGCAAAATGAGGTTCACCAAGACAGTACCGTACAACGTGACTGAGGCCGTCCACTCCATCCTGGACGAGTTCTGCTCCTCCGCTGCCAAGAAGATGGACATCCAGATTGACAAGCGCTCCCTGGACATTGAACCAGGTCTAAACAGTGTGTAGTGTGGTACAGTGTGGTAGTAGCAAAGAGTCATGGTGTGGTAATACCTGATAGTGTGGTAGTAGCTGAGAGTCATAGTCTGGTAGTAGCAGATAGTGTGGTAGTAGCTGTTAGTGTGGTAATAGCTGAGAGTCATAGTGTAGTAGATGCTGAGAGTCAGTGTGGTAGTAGCTGATAGTGTGGCGGTTGCTGATAGTGTAGTAGTAGCTGAGAGAGTCATAGTGTGGTAGTAGCTGAGAGTCATAGTGTGGTAGTAGCTGATAGTGTGGAAGTAGCTGAGAGTCATAGTGTAGTAGTAGCTAAGAGTCACAGTGTTGTTGTAGCTGAGAGTCATAGTGTGGTAGTAGCTGATAGTGTGGTAGTAGCTGAGTCATAGTGTGGTAGTAGCTAAAAGTCATAGTGTGGTAGTAGCTGATAGTGTGGTAGTAGCTGAGAGTCATTGTTAACCTGACTCTTCTCTCACTCTCTGCAGCGGATCAAGCTGATCCCTGTAAGTTTATGGCCTGCGGAGCATTTTCTCGCTGCGTGGTGAACAGCTGGACTAAAGAGGCCCAGTGTTTATGTGAACCAGGCTTCATGTCTGTGGACAACCAGTCCTGTCGTAGCGTTTGTGACCTGCAACTGGACCTCTGCCCAGGAGGGAAGTGTTACATTGTTCCAGGAGGAGGAGTTTCATGCAGGTAAACAAAAAGTCCTGTAAAACCTCTTCAGGTGTTTCTTGATGCTCGTTAAGTGTATCTTGATGCTCATAATTTGTTTCTTGATGCTCGTCAGTTATGTCTTGATGCTCTTTAGGTGTTTCGTGATGCTCGTCAGGCGTTTATTGAGGCTTTTCGGGTGTTTCTTGATGCTCGTCAGGTTTTTCTTGATGCTCATCAGGTGTTGATGCTCATCGAGTGCGTCTTGATGCTCATCAAGTGTTTCTTGATGCTCGTCAGGTGTTTATTGATGCCCGTCAGGTGTTTATTGATGCCCATCAGGTGTTTATTGATGCCCATCAGGTGTTTATTGATGCTCATCTAGTGCGTCTTGATGCTCGTCAAGTGCGTTTTGATGCTCGTCAAGTGTTTTTTGATGCTCGTCAGGTGTTTGATGCTTTTGAGGTGTTTATTGACGCTCGTCAGGTGTGTCTTAATGCTCTTTAGGTATGTCTTGATGCTCGTCAATTGTCTTGATGCTCGTCAGGTGTTTCTCGATGATCGTCAAGTGTGTCTTGATGCTCGTCAGGTGTGTCTTGATGCCCGTCAAGTGTGTCTCAATGCTTGTTGTGTGTCTTGATGCTCGTCAGGTGTGTCTCGATGCTCGTCAGGTGTGTCTCGATGCTCGTCAGGTGTTTCTCGATGCTCGTCAGGTGTTTTTGATTCTCGTCAAGTGTGTCTTGATGCTCGTCAGGTGTTTCTCGATGCTCGTCAAGTGTGTCTCGATGCTCATCAGGTGTGTTTTGATGCTCGTCAGGTGTGTCTTGATGCTCGTCAAGTATGTCTTCATGCTCTTCAGGTGTTTCTCGATGCTCATCAAGTGTGTCTCAATGCTCATCAGGTGTGTCTTGATGCTCGTCAGGTGTTTCTCGATGCTCGTCAAGTGTGTCTCGATGCTCATCAGGTGTGTTTTGATGCTCGTCAGGTGTGTCTTGATGCTCGTCAAGTATGTCTTCATGCTCTTCAGGTGTTTCTCGATGCTCATCAAGTGTGTCTCAATGCTCATCAGGTGTGTCTTGATTCTCGTCAGGTGTTTTTCGATGCTTGTCAAGTGCGTCTTGATGCTCGTCAGGTGTTTCTCGATGCTCGTCAAGTGTGTCTC